CTTCATGGGCTTTATTAGTCCTGCAAGCAAAAGCCTCAGGCCATCCTGTGAAGGTACATTCTAGTCCCAAAACATACTTAAAACCTTGCTTTCTAGGTAATTCAGTGAAGTCTATTTCTCAAATTGTCCCTGGGTAGTTGCCTTTAAGTTGGACTCATAGGGGTGGGCACCTGCCTACTTTTGTTTTATTTCTGGCACAGATCAGACAAGCTGCTACAGCTTGGGAAACAGTGGAATAGAGACCCTTGCCTACTACACAGCATGTCATAAAATCTACCAGTACTTTTGACCCCCCAATGTGTGCTAGCATGTATTTGTTATAAAAGAATCCTTAGAGGTGTATTTGGTAGAATAAATTTGCTCTCTATCCTCCACCACCCATCATCCCCCTCCTTGCCTCTGATAATTTTAAAATTTGTGGGCTATATTTAACAATTGATTCTCTTGCATTTAATAAACCTCTTTCCTTTCATAAGGCTCCATGGGCATGCAAGACTTCAAAGGCGTATTTGCTATTAATGTTTGTTGGCATTTTCTAATCCATTCAAATATTTTCCCATCCCTCTTTTAACAGCCCCATAAAGGGGCTTAACAATAAATCAAAAATTAAGAATCCAAATTCTACAAAAACCAGCCATCCCCCAAGAATCCCAATTGTTTTCTATTAACAGAGGGCTTTAATAGATTGCTTCCCTCTTTAGGCTAAAGGTCTTTGCTGTCCTGTAGAAATGCCAACCCCTAAGTTTTCACCTCCTGCTCTGCAATTTGGGCTTTTGTTGTTTCAAGCACATTATAACCTTTCCTGAAGCCCCAACAAAAGGTATCTCATCCGTAGTCCGAGGAGCAATAGGTCTGTTAAGGACAGATCTACTGGCTCCTGCATCTATTAACATCTTATGTTTAGATCCCCCATGTTGGACTTCCACCAGGGGTTGGTTGGGGGAGCAATAAAAGCAGCAGAATACTCTTTGAATATTCAAAACGGAACGTTTCTTCTTTTCTTTTCTTTCACGGATTGCTGACTTGACGCTTTGTTTGTTTATTTCATTTGTATGCCGCCCTTTTCCCCAAGGGAAACACACTGATAAAAGAATGTACAGATGTCCCTTTGAAATTTGATCAGAGAGGAGAAATCTTTTAAGCTAAGGTTGCTGTGTTTGTCAAGAATGACACAATACCCTGAAAAAATAGAGGTTTTGTCTTTGCAAGATATACTTTCAGAATTACAGAAATTATTAAATAAAGAAGAGAAACAATTAGAATACTTAGAACACATAACAAGAAAATATGACGAAAAANCTTGCAATGCTAGCCATGGGCTAGCTTTCTGAACCTGGTTGCTAAATAAACTTTTCCTGTATCCTGAGAAGTCTAATACCTGTCATTTCCTGCAACAAGATGTTGGCAGATCTGTTTTTTTTTATTATTTTTTTCAGTATCTTCCTGGGTATTGATGTTAGGCTGATTGGTCTGTAGTTTCCTGGGTATGTTTGCCCCATTTGTTGAAGATGGGAACCACATCAGCTCTTTTCCAGTCCTCTGGTAGTTCCCAGGTTCCAGGATTTTTGAAAGATGTGGAGCAGTGGTTCTGAGATGACATCTGCCAGCTCCTTTGGAACTCTGGGATGTAATCCGTCAGGTCCTGGTGATTTGTATTCATCAAGAACAGACAGGTGTTCTCTTACTATTTATTTTTTATTTTTTGCTTATTATAACTTTTATTTCTAGTCTATCTTTTATAGTTATGTTTTTGGTAGGTTGGACTATAGTTTCTTTTTGCGTGAAGACCGATGCAAAGAATGAGTTAAGCAGCTCTGCTTTCTCTCTGTTGCCTGTAACTTCCTTGCCATCTTCTCTCTTTAGTGGACCAATTGTTTCCTTGTTTTTTTTTCTTGTTATTTATATGTTGGAAGAAACTTTTTTTTATTATCTTTGACTTTTGTTGCAAGTCTTTGTTCATTCTGAGCCATTGCTTTCTTGACTTTGTCTTTGCAGATTCTGGCTATCTGCTGATATTCTGCCATAGTTGTGTGTCCTGCTTTCCATTTTTTGTACTTTTCCTTTTTGTTTTTCAATTTGTCAGAGAGATCTTTGTGCAGCCATGCTGGTTTCTTCTTGGATTTCTTTTTTTACTTTCTCAGCGGTATTGTGGTGGTCTGGCTTTTATGATCATGTTTTTCAGGGTTTCCAAAGAAACCCTTGGGAAACAACCCTAGTAGATATAGTTCATACCTTTTTTTAATGAAAATTATCAGTACTTTTGATCAGTGATGTCATCAAAGTAAACAAACCCACGTGCTGATTATGTCANGTGACCTGAATGACTGAGAATCTCCATAGACATTGTATTTCTTGCTTCTGGAAAGAATCATGGCTACTTTCTGTGGTTAGTTCCCATTCCAAGGAGCAAGTAGTATTCCACTTTAATCACATACTTAATTAAACAGAAGCATGACATATACTTCATCAACTTGGAGACAAGAATCAGTAGCTCTTTCCAAGCCTTAGGATTTACCACATTGTGCAAATATTGCTAGGGTGACATCAGGTTTGCTGTTCACTCCTAGCAACCACAATAAATAGATTTTTCTCCTTGAAGATCTATCCCTGACCTGGTCCTTCAGGTGTAAATGTGTTTAATAAATCCCGAAAGATAGAAGGCCAAGTGAGATAAAAATGCTGTCATCCTATGAAATCACTAGAGCTGAATGTTGATTTGGAGAAGAATTCATCCTTAGTTACTGATTGAGTGTTTGGATACCCCTGACACTTCACTGTTGTTTGGCATGTTTTAGTAATTGCAAATATGGATTCAATTATCTTTGCACGCTATTGCATCTATATTCCCCCCCCCTTCAAAGTAGCTTGTCCTCTCTTCCAGAAACCACACCCAGACGATTGGATTTCTTAACTGTGACAGAGTTTTAAGGAGTGTGAAGCAGGTATAGAATCAAGCTAAGGAATTTGACTCTTTGGGCCTGTGTATGAATTTCCAGTCTAGGCTGGTACATGCTAGATATAGTGACTTAACAGAAATAGCCAAAGACAGAGACCGGATTGAGGAGAGTGCATTGCTATGCATTTTATATCTTATAATGTGTTCTCTGCACATGAAAACCTCTGATGATGCTACTCTGGGTACAAACAGATCAATCTTGCCTTATAATTGAACATTTACTGTGGTCTTTAAATTGATTTTCTTTGACTAGGGATATTTTTGTTGTTATTTTTCTTTCAGAATGCATGCAAATCATGAAGGTTCTTTAAATGAATTGATGAATCCCAAAGTGATTGTTAGAAGTACCGTATTTTTCAGAGTATAAGATGCTCTGAAGTATAAGATGC